ATAGAATCCCCGACACTTCGGCTACAAGTCTGTCGCTTTACCAGCTGAGCTACAGTGACTTCATGTACCACACACATATACAAAGACAGACAGACAAACAGACGGACGGATAGATAGATAGATAGATAGATAGATAGATAGATAGATAGATAGATAGATAGATAGATAGATAGATAGGTGTTTTTCTTTTTCATAAAGCAACGATGAATTGAAAGTGTCATTCCATCAAACATTCAAAATTTACCACTGTCATTTTATCTGCAAATATTTTCATTTATTTCATGTGCTTTGATCTGAGGAAACCAAACGTCCCAGTTAAAAAATATGTGCTTTACAAGTTTTATTATGTTCTGATCTATATTTAAAAGCATCTAAAAGTTCTATCATGTAGTTCTCTGTATTTAAGATATTACACTATGATCTTAATCTAGGCAACAGAAAGAAAATGAAAAGAACAGTTGGAGTACAAATCAGCCAATAATATTGTCCTTAGAATACAAATTGAAAATTTTGAAAGACACGTTATTCTTAATTATTTCCCAAACAATCACAAATGTCATATCACAAATGCAAAAGTATTTAATGCTTCGAATAAAATGTCTTGAATGTTCCGATGTACCACCATGATGTAATTCAGTTTTAAATAAACCACAGCTAGTGTTTTAATCTAAAATGTCTATTAGCACGTTGTAATTCCAACGAATAATTTAAATAAACAATTCTTCTCAAATTATTTCATAATATAAGTGATTTTACAGACTGATAAAAAAGATTGAATAATTGTTTGCCGAACATTTTTATGTATGAACTATCACCTATCCAATGATGCAAAAGAATGTTTTAGAAAACTAATAATATCAAATGGAATAATTCACAGTTTGCTAAATAAGTTAAGATCTTGTACTTTCATTTTAATAAATGTCTTGTTTACTTCATAGAATCATGACAAGAATCATGAAAATTTATGTAATTTTACATAACAAAATTTGCATTTCAAAATGCTTTATATACACGTTTTATGATGTTATTTGTTTATTTAAAGTCACATGCCAAAATTCAAGCTATTCACGTTTAATGATGTCCTTATCTATTTTCAAAGTCACAGTTCACAATGCGTGCTATACACGTTTGGTTATGTTGTTCTCTATATTTAAAACTACTACTAAATGCATAGCCAGAATTAGGACCTTAGCTTTCAGCTTAACATAGTCTTTGCGATTACTACATGTATCATACTTTTCTTTAAAATTTATGACTGATATTCACAAAGTGTATCCAATTGTTAGATCTCTTTAATTCAGAATACATTCAGAATTTTAAAGACTCAAACATGTATTCAAAAGAAATTTAGGTCTTGTCTTGATAATGAATAGGGGTTTCTTTATCAATTTTCGAAACCCGAGACTCCGGTGTTTTTCGGAGAAGATTTACGACGAGAATGCAAGCAGGGAGCCACGTTATCTTTGTGCCATGTTTTTATAGCCCTGATCATGACGGCGACTAACACATAGAGATCTGTATTCAAACCTACTAAAGTAAAATCCAATCTATGACTGCATGTGGATTTGACGTTCATCTCTGATCCACTTTTGTTATAAATCATCTAAAAAACGGGTTTATATCTGGATAAACTGTTGACATGACTGCAAGGTGATGGCGCCGGAATGGTAGAAATTATCATATCATTTTCTTAGCCTTCGAGGTGGGTCTACATTAGGTAGAGGTGATGCAAGTGCTGGATATATTACCTGTGTTGTAGATGGGTATAGACCGCGTGCAATGAACGCTGTAACCTTAGTTCCACACAAAAAGAGGCTTTCTTCATGTATTAAGATCGGAAACGTTTTGATTTACAGGAGAGAAATAAAGCAGCCAACGAACAAAATCTTGAATTTCTGAAAAGATATTTTGCTATATGCATTTTGTATTTGCATTTAAACGAAGGAAAATAAAATGAGATTCTACTGTTTGCAATTTATTTTTTTTTATTCCCTCTAAATAATCACTAGTATCAAACATAGCTGCAGTTTCTGACAACAAAGAACGAAATAAAATCTTTTTATCTTGTGTAGACAAGTGTGATAAATGTATATCAAGCGTATTAGGAATAAATATTTTAAATAACGGAACCTATGTGCATTTTTTTTAAAAATTGAAAACAAGATTCCTTCATCAATGTTTCTTTCCTTAAGAGAGCTAAAACCTAATCTAACGATTTAACATTATTCACCCAATTTAAAAAAAAAAAAACTATATCAGATGTTAATAAGTACAGCTCCAATGTTTATCTGGTACATCTGTACCAATATTTATGATATGCATTTTCAGTCTTAAAGAATAAGCAAGTCACGGAAGTAGATTGGAGCTAAGCACCGTTGCTTTTGAAGCACGGGATTACTTAACTGCTGTACAAAGCTAAGGTCCAAAACAACCCTGGATAAATTACAAATATAAATGACGGTGTGCATTATTGTGTTTTGCTAAGTTGAATATATATATATATATATATATATATATATATATATATATATATATATATATATATATATATATATATATATATATATATATATATATATATCCTTAAAAAAGGGTCATCAAACAAAAGAGTATAGAATAAAAACTACCGTTCGACTAAAGCATTCCAAAAACTAATATCTTCATTTGAATATTCAATTGTTTTTTTTTCAAATTTCGCTTTCAGTATAACACAATTTCTGAGATTATTTCAGTTTTACTGCAACAGAAAGTTTGCAAGACAAAGATTTCCCGATACGTTCGACGTGTAGACGTCTTTGACGTTTTAGCAACGAGTCAATGTCCATGTATACCATTTTAGTGTTGTCATCGTGTCACGGCTCCACTAAGTCTTAGTAAAACTCCTATATATTCAGCTTTGACAGACTCAGCAACGTAAATGTTTAGTGAATTTGAGCCTGGATTGTTTTCCGTGTACTGCCAAGTTCACCACTGAATATTTTGCACGACTCTAATGCCAGGTCGGTGAACACCTGAAGCATTTTTCTTATATTAGTTCTGAAAACGGAATTGTTCATCAGCTAAAATAAGTCCTTAGATCTATATTCATCTCAATGCAAAGGGCATCCATAAACGTCGGAGATTTCGTAACAATGGATGTATTCGACATATACCAATTCAAAGTCGCAAATTGCACACTGGTTCGGCTACAACTACTAGCAAAAACCCGACATCTCTGGGGCTAGTGGATAATCATTGTAGGTATTTTGAAGCTTATCAGTATGTTACAGATCGAACTCGAAGATTGATCCATGTTTGAAGTTGCTCGTGTATGTGCTTGTACATAACAATATACACGTGATCAACCCAATGAAACTATCATATTCCCATCGGTTGTATCATCAGACAGGTTTTGTATCCAGTAAGATGATGCATCCGTCCAAATACGACCAATCTAATTGTTAACGCTAGCTTAGCGGTGTCTCATCGTGGATATTCCGCTGAAGACACAACGCTCGATAAGCAAATTTTGATCGATGCCAGTGAACAGTTCCATCTCGATATTGGTTTTTGACAGCAACCCATCTCAGACCACTCCTGGCGATGAAAGTAGTGTACGAGATCGACTTTGAATACGCGTATGGCAGCTGTTGCAATAAGACTTAAAACATTCGCTAGGAATAACACATCAACATTCAAATACAGATCGTGGTAGTCACTGAGGCTTCTACAAGAAAACTGAAAAACAAACGTTGTTAGCGTGTCGGTTGTATCGGCGGAAATACCTTCGCGCGTCAGCAATAAATAAACGGTTTCAATCGACGATAAATGTGGTTCGTAAAAAGTTTTCCCAAACTCTCGTGTATTTGTATGGAGAGAGTTCTTTATGCTTAAGCAACTTAAATCTTTTACGTTCAACGCTACCTGTTCGACGAGTAACCGTAAAGTGATCATTTTTTCCTACTGAAAGGTCGTTGACAGTTCTGTTCACGATGTAACTGACAAACTGCAATAAGTCGTCAAATTAAATGCAACTGTCGCAGTAGGAATGTATTTTTCCATGCTGATGGGAATAATACTTATTTTATTCCTACAATGTCGTTACAATTCCTTGCATAATTAGGTGACCAACATAAACTCACAGCTTATGAACACAATCCGAATTTTTTTTTTGCAAGGGTAAATTCAGAGTAACATAATGAATACACGTTTGCCACTTCGAACTCGCAAATGTCATAACGAGTCAAAAACGTGTATGCGGGTGAAGAAGATTGTTGTTGGATCCATGTCGATGTAACTTCTAGCTAATTAAAAAATCATCAACCTAATACTTGTTGTGATAAAATGCTGGCTGCTTAATTTGTCAGTCACATCGGACAATCGTTTAGACAAATCCGCATATGAATTGTTAAGGAGCCAGAGCAGTATTTGATAGATCTGCGTGGGTTTCTTGCTCAATGGAAAGAGACGATTTCACGGACATGTTTAGACATTCAAAATGTGTATATAGGATATATGCAACCTTTGAACTTTCGTTGCACCACGGTAAATTTTTAAATGTTTTTTTTGGTTCTTGCATCATCGTACGATGCTACGTCTTGCTGTATGTTGCAGTAAATATAATAAAACAGCTGTTGGGCTATGATTATTGTTCAACAACAACAGATCAATTTTAATCCATACGCGAGTCGAGGTGGAGGGTCTAACTACCTATAGCCGCTGGTCCATGCAAACACATTAACGGCGATATCAGGGATGATCCGTTCAAATGAACTTTTATCAGAAACCTGTCATGAAAATTCTTGATTATAAAGCTCGAATTCATCCATATACTGTTTGTATTTTACAGCCGGTATACATGACCGCACATGGGATGCGGAGTGGAAAAAGTTTCACATGCTAAACACTGGTTGAATTGTTTTTCACCTTTATTACTGCTTGGTTTTGAATACTCTATAATATTTGAACATAAGTTACAAGTTTCTGCACATCTAGCGAAATCCCGTCCTGGAACCTAAACCGCTCCAGTGGCCTAGTGGTTAAAACGTCGGCCTCTGATGCGGGAGGTCGAGGGTTCAAACCCCGGCCGAGTCATACCAAAGATCTACAAAAATGGTACTAACAGCTGCCTCGCTTGGCACTCAGCATTAAGAAGTTAATGTTAGGACTGGTTGGCATGGTCTCAGGATAATGTGACTGAGTGAGACATCAAACACATGTCTGCGGCATGATTCTCCAGTGCTAGACATCACTGTAAACTGTTACACTGCAGATATTGTAGTGATATGACTGAAGAATTGTTAAAGGTACGTTAAAAAACTAAATCACACACTCACACATCTGGAACCTGCGTTGGTGTATTTTTCAAACGTCTCTAGAATCTTTGCAAAGGTTTTGCCGATTTCTTAACAGATTGCATCTGGTTTTTGTTTTCGTGATTAAAGATTACATTGGCATTACTCGAAAATCACGGGCGTGAGACAATGACACATCATTGTTTGTTAACATAATGCCATCTGTGAAATTAACTTGCATATTAAAGTCCACGTCGAGAACACTCTTCACCATTAACCCAAAAATGTCAGTGTTCTGCAATGATGATAGGATTTCCAGGTGCATGTTCAAGAGCAGCTTCACGTCTTGTTTGCTTGGTTTGTATTCGGTATATTTATATATAATGATCGCTCCTGTAAAACGTAAACAGTAACGATAACCGTGAAAAGGACACAGTGGCCTTTATCACCAGCATCTACACATGCGATTTTGTTCCACCTTTATCAACGACGAATCTTAAAATGTAACTGTGCTGTTTTTATACGATACTGTCACATGGTCAGAAAGTCTTAATAGCGAAGCCATAAGTGCTTCTGTAGTGCATTTAGGCCTCCTTATCCCACTTTCTCACGCTGATTGCTTACGTTGATTCACAGTTGGTGTTGCAACAAGCCGTGGTTCATCTGGGGAAAGTTACCTCACAGCCGGACGTGGCTCATTTGCTGAATATCTTAACAGTGTAAGTATTCTTACCCTATTTCTACCACTCTATATCCTTATCTAACGCGGTTTGCTTAAGATGATTCACCAGTATGTAATGAGAAAAAACAGTGTCTAATTGTTTATTGAATAATGAACTTTTGTAATATCGTAATTATAGTGAGCATTCGCTTTGATTCTTGACATCGTTTTTTTCTTCATGGGCGTGTTGAAAAGTCTTAACCGCCGCTCACGAAATACTCGGGATAAAAGGTCAGCGTGATCGGCAAAGCTGATTACATGACTTGACTCCGATACCACATTTAGGGCATGGTGGAGCACCCGGGCCAACAAGTAACACCAGTGTGATTTACAACATTGCAAACACAGGCTCTGTTGAAAAATTCCCGTTCCCCGAGACATCGCCCTTTCAGCTTTCAAAGTTTCTAGATATAGAATATGTTTTAGTATCTGGTGTCTTTATTCTCTCACTCTGGTTGCTCCATTCGTCTTGTTATTATTTCCTTTTTACATGCTTTGGTATCACAGAAATTACGGCGTAATCCATAAACTTTACTTATCCTGTTGAAACATTATTGCTTATCTCAAAGAATTGAATTGACATTTTCAGAACCGATTGAAATTAGAAAACATTAGTTATTGTTATATGTTTAATCCTTCAGATGCTTGAGCTTAGGTGAGGTAAGTGGTTTTTCTGTAGTGCCGTTGCATTTAATTTTCCTGCCTCCTCTTTATGTTTAGGTTACTTTCATACATTACATTCGATTAGTAACTAGAAATAATTAGAAGTAGTTAGCAATTAAAAGTGATATATGGATTTTAGACAAAAGATGAAAGGCCCCGAGTAGCTGAGTGGTCTAAAGCACTGTCCGTTATGGATCACTGCCATCTCACCTCTGTCTGCGTGGGTTCGAGTATAGGATTCGGCGAATGTGGATATGTTAGAAAGCTTGCCAGTAGCTTCTCGTGGATCGATGGTTCTTTCCGGTGATTTCCCGGTTTCTTCCTCCACCATTAATACTGGCCGCCATGAATAGCCTATCGTGTGCTCAAAAATGGCGTTAAGTCCAACAACAACAACAACAACAAAAGATGATTTTGAAAAGATTGTTCGACACGGAGTATAAACCTTTTGCCAATTAACCACGGCGATGTAAGTTGAATTTTGAGTTCTTTACCTTCTAGCATATTCACATTTTTATTTTCCTCTTCCAAGTTTATACATAAAACATATTTAGCCATACACTTTAATATAAAAAGCAAATAATAATTCACGGCCCTTAGTTATAATTGTTTTGAAGTTCATTCTTAAAGAATTGTGACTAACCAGTTTAATTAATTATATACGAATTGCCGGCTTTAAACGTTGATAGGTGTGATTTTTGTTTCAGTTTCACGATAAGTCGAGCTGGATTTTAACATCTTTAGTACCTTCTAATTTATTCCTCACTATGACGAATCATTAGTATTTAGTTTACCCGTCACGTACCCGTTTACTATGTGTGATTATTGACAAGGGATGAATCGGTATATAGATTTAGATCTTACGTTGAATGATAAATTTCCAATTAAGCTGTTCGCCAAATTTATTCGCAGAAATCTATACTAATCAAAAGGTTTCTAAACTATTATTTTGATTTTTTTAACTTTTAGTTGTATGAATTGATATTTTCAGTGTAGGAATGGACATTACCATTTTAGGAATTGATGTTATCATTTTGGGAATTTATATTTTCCGTTCAGGAATGGACATTACCTATTGTGAATCTCTGTCATCCAATTAGTTATGACAAATACAACAGTTGGTTTTGCATATTCCTATTCAGCGTCTGCTCTGCATGGTGTTAATTACCTTCTTCCTTCAAATTTATTGGGACTATAGCTGATTTATTTATTTTAAATGATCTCAATATTTAAAGTAAATGCGTTTCTATTTGAGGAAACTTTAGTTTCAGCACACCTCTCTTTAAAGGTGTTTTAATACTCTTTGACTGTAACCTAAATGACTTGGTCTGCCGCGTTATGTACGTTCCTCAGCAACACACAAAACCATTATTTATTAAAAAGAAATTCATAAAAATCCTTCTTGTTATAGTTGTGCATGTAGTTGACGAGTCATCGAATGGAGCATTGGTATACGCATCTGTATCACCATATCATTTGGGGAATATAGTTGTACAAACGTATCAGTTGGTACTTTTATATATCTATATGAACTTATCAGTTGGTACGTATGTATCTATATGGACGTATCAGTTGGTATACTCGTGTATCTATTACTAGATACATCTGTATGAACGTGTAAACTGGCACGTGCACATCTGTATAAAGGTATCAGTTCAGTCCATGGCGCAATTTAGTCTCAGCAAATTTCTTCTGAATAAATTGCATACAATATAGGTTTTACTAAACAAAGTCAAATTTTTGGCTCACAAAACCTTATTCGAAAAATATTTTCATCTACGCTTAAAGTAAACACAAATAAATGTAAGGCTCAAAAGTTGCAACAAAAAAGTTTGAGATCTGTGCCATCTTTAAGGTGAGCAAAAACAAATACTTATGTTAGAAACAGTTTTTTTTTTCTCAAATGGAACGTAATTGTCGTCTGCTAAGTACACTTGAAATTTAGATTATCAGAAAAAGGAATGCACATTTATCACTTGTTCTTCTCGCACTTAGTAAGTTTTATTCAGTTTTAGTGATTTAATTTTTCAAACCCAATCTGCTATTGTAAGATCAAAACTGACTCTTTGTGATCAAACCTGACGCTGGGATCAAACCTGAATCTGGGATCAAACCTGACTGTGGGATCAAACCTGACTGTGTTCAAACCTGACTCTCTGGGCTTTTGCAATACCGAGATAATCATTTACAAGACTACTGAAAATAAATATTCAAGAGCGATAACTTTGTTGAAAATAATTTCTATAATAATTTTTGCTTACCTCCCTCATTTATCTTCGTCGAGATAAAGGACACGATGTACTAATTATATAGATCTTATTGCTCTGAATGATATGAATAGGGATGTATTGTATCGTAGGTATCTGAGAGTCAGGAAGAAAAGAAATGGAATTATGAAATTTAAAACATTTAAAATTTGTCTTATGACATGTGAGAGAAGAAATTACAATGCCTTATGGAATTTGATACACTTTTATGTTATACTTGCTGACGTCAGCATCTTTGTTTCTTTTGTGTAGCATGCATGTCATATAAACATAACATGAAGATACAAAGGCAGAAAACAATTATTTTAATAACAAGAATAAACCACTAATAAGTGCAATGCAACACAGCAACATGTAATGCGGATGCAATTTAACTATATACAGAGGTATATCATAAAATGCCATTACACTAATATCTTTGCACAGGTATGGCCAATTCTTTCTTTCAGTTATGTGCCGATATCAATGAGTAAAATACACGTCTTTCTAAAAATTTAGATCTAGTTATAGATTAATGGACAACCGGTACTAATTATATGGAAGAAATGTGAACCAGTCTGGAAATGGGTAAACAAATATTAGATTTGGTGGTCCATAATTGGTTAATAAAGAAAAGTAAAATTTTAGCAAAAATTTCTTTTGAGAGTTTATCCTATCTATAATTTTAGAAGAGTAAGAAAAGGGGGAAGAGTAAGACATCTCACAGATTTTGGTACTGAAGCTATAGATTTCAATCTCTGGAGGAATAATAAGGATTACTCAATAATTTTGAAGTTTTATATTTGTATATAAACAAAAAAATAAGTATTTCTTACATTTCTAAAACCTGAATGGAGAATTTTGAATTTTCTCAGATGGCAGCAGCAAGGGTCCCCAAAATGACACGTGATGAATAGTTTACTGCCTTGGTAATTTAGTCCTCAGTGGCAAATAATTATCTGATGTCTGTCAAGCGGTGTTTGTGGAAAGAATTATGGGTCTTATGACACCGAGAACCAGTGGGAAATATCAAGCTGCACACCCCATTCCATCTGTTTCTTAAATTGAGTGAGACTGTTTGAGGCAAATTAAATCAGGTTCAACGCATAAATAAATTTGACTTCTAATATCTATATGTTATCATAGTTCATGTCCAAATTTGTGTTGCTT